AGTCACAAGACCAGTCACAAGTAACAGGGTGAACAACGACAAAGGAATGCTTTTGTTGCCGTTCTTTTGGATAGTTTGTGGCTTGAATTCAGACTGGAGTTCTTGTGTTGGCCTTGTGGCGGTCTCGTGTGGTCTTGTGAAGGTCTTAAGCGGTCTTACTACAACACTGGTAAACAAAGTGCGACGTCATCGGCAGATCCTATTGGTCATTCTGTCTCATGGCACTCGATGACACGCAATGGGGTCACATTCTATTGCCACCATGGCGTGTAAATACCGCAGGTATCGTCGGGTCATCTCTGCCTGTGCCCTGCAACCTGACATAGACATGCTGCCGGCCGGCGACCAGACAGAGATCGGAGAGAAAGGAATCAACATGAGTGGTGGACAGAAACAGCGCATCAGCGTGGCGCGGGCCATGTACTCCAGAAGAGATATTGTGCTACTGGTGAGAATATTCTGGTATATACTGTCACAGTATCAAGTACTTGACAAATAAATACTTGGCAAGCTAACTATGCGATATTAGAATCCTGTGTCATGAAGAAAAACAAGAACTGTTTTGGGTGCTTCAAATAAACCTTCTGAATTTCTAGTTGGATGCCTACAAGAACAGCTTTACGTAATGCTCTTTTAATTTTTAACATTGAATACGTGTTGAAAAGGATATGATTGGAAAAGTTTGTAAGTGATGGAAAATAATGGAAAAATAGAGGATTTCAAATACACAAAAGAAAGTATCGGGCAAATCAGGATTCAGAAACATACTGTGTACTCTTCAAGAGATAAAAAAATTAAATAGTTTCACCGAATTGTTGGAGTAACTGCTGTGGATACTCAATCTCAGGATGATCCGCTGTCTGCTCTTGATGTCCACGTTGGAAGCCACCTGTTCCAGCATGGTATTATGGGTAATCTACTGAAAAAGAAGAAAACGGTCATCTTGGTCACCCACCAACTGCAGTATCTGGCCCACGCTGACAAGGTAATAATGGGAATTCCTGTAGCAATTTTTGGCTTGAAAAAAATTCTGACGTAATGAAAGACGGGGAAACAAAGTATGAACATGTGTGACCTGTGATGACAAAATGAGAGTAACGTCGCATCTCGCTCTTTCCTATTTTGAGGGTTCAAAGTCATATTGAAACGGAGGTCAATTTTGAGGTTTTGTGATATCTGGAAAGAGTAACCTATCTCCTTTTTAATTCCAAGTATTTCACAAAATCATATATTTAAAACTGTTATTTCTTCAGCAGTTTTGACGATAGCATTATTCATGCCTGGTCTGAAATAGTGAAAATATGCCGGAACCAAAGACGCAAAGCTGCCAGAATAATGCCACATTGTCACCTTATACTTTACCCTAAGTGTTCCATGTACATGCCATTGGAGAGCTCTTTTCTGCTGAATTCAAAAATACCAATACCTCAATTTTTGAAAATTCCAACTTTCAGCTCATTTTGTGGTGACGGGTCACATTTCTCCTCACCAGAAACACAGCAAATTCTTTTGAAGTCACCTGTACTCTCAGATCCACATTGGAATGCGATTCACACACTGCTTCGATGCATGGATATCTCACTTTTTCCCATTTCTAGATTCTGTTAATGAAAGAGGGACGGGTAGCGCAGGAGGGAATGCTAGAGGACATCATGGCGGCTGAGCCAGACCTCTACAACGGCTACCAGAAAGCCGTCAAGGAGATGACGGACCTGGAGTCTGAGGCAGAGACAGACGGAGAGTCCAGGAAACAGGAGATGATGCAGATCAGGAAGCAGATCTCGCATCAAGAGTCGAGCATCAGAGACGAGGAGGTGGCAGAAACCGGCGGTAAGCTAAGGTTCGCTTGTTGTTTGCTTGCTGACGGCGAATATTGGCATTACTATCGACCCCAGCCTACACTGCATGAGCCGTTGGCTGATGGTAGCATGTTTTTGCTGAGCAGATATTTGCCCTGCATAGCAGAGTTTGAGGCTTTGCACACTTTTTGGCAAAGCAGTTCCCTGCGGTGGGCTCAAGCACAGATCCAGGTTTAACAGGATTTAGGAAGATACACAACTGTGATGTCCAAACTAGGAGTCCATAACAGAGTTTTGGTTAGAGTTTCTTGCCTTGCTTGCTTTCCACCTCTGCAGCCTCGGGATTGATTTCTGGCTCGATCCAGCGTGAATTGATTTTTTCAGCCTGCATGTGATTCTGAGTGTTCTACCGACACTGTTCCTCTGTGGTTTTCTTCCCATCTGAAAAAGTTAATAATAAAAATCAGAAAAACATTTTCAAAAAAGGCAAAATGATGCTGTGAGTGCATCAAGAATAAACGGAACAGGTTTCTCAAAATGATAATCCAACCCTCAGCTCCCCCAAAAAGTCATGTTGCTTTTCTTATTCCAGATGAGCGTGGTCGTCTGATGGTCAAGGAGGAGATGGAGCGAGGCTCCGTGTCTTGGAGTGTCTACTACTACTATGCCAAGGCCATTAGGCTTCCCATAGCCCTTCTGATACTGCTGGTATATCCCCTCCAAGCCGGCATCATCGCAGGGAATAACTACTGGCTGGCCAACTGGTCTGAGGCGGGACTGAGTCCGGGAAACGTAAGTCCCGTCACCTGAGGCTGAAACATGACCGAGGCGTGACTGTTTCACTTGCTGTACTGGAGAGGGTATCTATCGTTCGCACACACTGATATGCAGGCGGGAGAATATGGCACCAATCATATTGCCTGTTTTCAGCAGAATGTGCACAAATCCACTCCGATTTGATTTCTCTCTTTCCACCCAGGCAACAGACTCAGCCTACTACGTCGGGGTCTATGCAGCGATATCGGTAGCCGGTGTTTGTAATTCCTTCATCACCACGATGACCACAGTCATAGGTTTGCTCATTGCAGCAAGACACCTGTTCAACCTCATGCTGAGCAACATCATTCACATGCCCATGCGGTAGGTCTCTTTTGGTCATTTTCTCTTTCGGGAACTTAAAGTGACTTAATTTCGACATTTTCAAATTTTTATCGAAATATTTGGCATACGCAAATTGATCCTGAACGGGACTGACAAATGATAAAAATTAAACCCATATTCCATCTTAACCAATCCTTAATCCTTTCCCCATGCTCCAAGGAAAGACGTAAATGGGTAAAAATCAACAGAATTGTTGTTGTTATTGTTGTTGTTTTTATCTTTTGTGGATGTATAGATTTTTTGACACAACACCAATTGGTCGTATCATCAACAGATTTTCTGCAGACACACAGATCATAGATATGGTAAGAGAAAATCGAGGGGATACTTTTTGGGGTGGGGCTTGATATTAGTCCACAAGCAGGCTCAATATTGACAATATTGCTTATATTACTTGTGTGGCTATTCTTCAGTTTTATCACTGCAGTGTGTTATGTTATTCGACTTTCAAATATGTTCCTTGTTTGGCTATGGACTGCTGATGTTACCATCTTGTTCTTGAAGCTACTCCTGTTACTCAGGAAACCTTTGTCATAACAACAATAGTACTAATATAGGCATTTATAAAGTGCCTTTAACACGGATCAAAGTGCTGTACATCATTTATTACCCCTGTTCACTGGGCCCATGTAACATTCCATCTCAGCTCCCTGGGGAGTATACAGCTCAATGCAGCGACTATTTTGGTGCAAAGCGACTAAATCAACCAGAATAACCATCTCTGCCCTCACAGGGTACCCAATTAATTACTCCTGGGTGGAGAGAGAGGCAATGAGTGACAAAGTGCCTTGCCTAAAGGCACACACACCATGACCCCAGGCTGGATTCGAACCCACAACCTGCGGCTTTACCCACCGACTGTGAATCCGATACTCTTGACCACAAGGCCGTAGCACGCATTGAATGCATCCATCAGTTTTGTCTTTCTTTCCGTAAACAATTCATGCTTTATGTGTGTTACATTCGAAGCGTTCTCTGATACTAACTCATCATTTTCAGAAACTTACCATGTGCTACGATGCCATCTTTTTCTACCTGACATCTATCCTGGCAGCCTTGATTATCAACGCCTACATCAGTCCCATCTTCCTTGCCACAATTCTACCCTTCTGTGTCTTCTACTACCTGGTCCAGAAGGTCTTCGTCACAACCTCCAGGTAACCTCTAAAAGTGGGAACTTCATTTTCATCTCCCGAGAGAAAAAAATACAGATTTCCATGCTCTATATGCAGTTCGGGGTAGACCCTTTCCTTTTAGGTTGGAGTCATGTCGGGCCAAATTTAAGTTCTTGCAACCTTTCAGTAGCTTCTGCCTTGAGCATTTCTGCAACCAGCACTGATATTCGCTCCTTGCATGCTGCCTCCATTGACATGCAGAGCCTCGAACTGGCAGCTTATAAAATTGTGTCAGAATTGCGTCAACGGAGCACAATTTGAAATATTGACCAATGGCATAGTATAAGAATTAACGCAGCATGCACAAAACTACCAAGCAACATACATGTGAATCACTGAATCGGCTAAGTTTATTGTGTATTATTGGCGGCAGCGTGTAAAGAGCGAATTCTTTTCATATTTATGGGCAAGAATGCCATTTTTGACATCCATTTTGTTTCAGAGAGCTGCAGAGACTTGACAGCGTCACCAAATCACCCATTTTTGCTTTCTTTTCCGAAACTCTTGGCGGGCTTTCAACAATTAGAGCATACCGGTGAGTTTGATGTGAACACCCTCACAGACTAGGTTTACTTCCTTCATCTTGGAATCTATCACTAAAGTCAAAAGGCACTCAGAAAGCTGGAGCTTTTGTAATGTCAAGTATGTCAAAACTGTTTGGCAGAAACATTTATGTCAAAGGAATTCAGTGTCAAATATGACAAAATATCCTTCATGTCAAATTATATCCGACCATGTCAAAACAACTTGCCACCAAAGGAACTCATGAAAATTCTGGGTAGGATTTACACCAATTTTAATCTTTTTGAGTTTTTAGAATATGTTTGATATTTGTACTAATTTCGAAGAAAAGAATTTCTCTGAAATGGATGAATTTGAGCTTCCAAATTTTGACCGTTTGTGCAGCAAGCACCAAACCTTTTTTGACGGTATCATGGAGCGAGTGGCCACCAACAACACGGCTTACCTGTACCTGCAGGCAAGCATGAGGTGGCTGGCTGTCAGATTGGTAAGTCAACTCCTGCATGGAATTACCTACTAAATGCACCATGCAGTGCCTGGCTTGGAAGGAACTACTTTGGGTTGTGTTTTTGCCTTTCTTCTCACATCTATTGATCATTTAATTGATCTTCCAAGAAGAGGGAATAAAGAGAAATAAAGAAGGACAAGACTTTCAAGGGACGAGGATGCTGAGTGTAATGGAAACAAAACAATATTTCCTTAAAACTCCTGTGTAAGTTCTTAACTTATAACGTTGGTTTTTTTTTAAGACAAATGTTTGAAGAATAATTGAAACACAGTCATTTAATTAAAACAATTTTTTCTGTCCTCTAGATCTGCTTTAAAGATTGTCAAAGAACCAAGCTCAGGTTTGCACAGCTCGCTTTGCTCATTTTCTTGTGTGTTCTTGATTGACCCTGGCACAATTTCCTTCTTCGTCACTTTCCTCTCTTCTTCGTAGGATTTAGTGGGTGCCTTTGTTGTACTAATATCTGGACTAACAACGGTGCTAGGGTCCATCTATGGCTCTGTGGACTCCAGCCTTGTGGGTCTGGGAATAAGCTATGCTCTCATGGTCAGTAACAAGCAAGGGCCTCTTGTCAAACGACATGCAAAATATTCATGAGGGTTGGACCGATTGAATGAATTAATGTACCGTTTGTTGAGACGCTCCTATTTGGAGACTTGTATTCCGGCCAAGCATGAGGCATCTCAATCTCAGCAGCAAGGAACAGCAATGGAGCATGAACGCTTTTGTCCAAGTACAGTTGAATAACTGGATTAGATGACCTACGTTGGGTTTGGAAATCTATGCTTGAAAGTTTTACATTGACAAGTGGCCTTGCTCACTTTTTCCTTTCTTTAATGTCCTATGCTCCTGTTTTCTGCACCTTAAGTTTTGATAATAATAAATTCATAAAAAAAATTGCATTTACAAAGCACTTTAAACAGGCGTTTCCAAGCGCTACCAAGTTTTAAGTATGTGTGTCTTAAGCTGAGTCTTGAACCGATTCCAGAGAGTAGGTGCAGTGACAGCAAATGCCCGCTGACCCTAACAGGCGTTGGTGCGCGGGCCATGAGCAAGATGTAAATGTGAGGTGGAATGAGATCGGAGGCTGATGGATGAGGTTGAGACCTTGATGCAGAAAAAACGTCTGCTTTTGGGTCATTCCATGAGGCTGGGGCACAACTTGTGACGGTGTCCATTGTTACGTCAGTTTGCGTTCTGTCAAAATGAACAGCTATTTCCCTGCATGTGGATTGCAAGGCTGAATACAGAGGTGTGTGTTGTTTTTATAGAGTAAATGACCTACTCTACAGGTCATGACAGACGGTAAAAGTTACTCATGTAACAAGGACACCGTCACAAATTGTGCCCCAACCTCATGGAATGACCCTTCTGTCCGCAAAAATTTGCATGTGCTATGCTATGAAATTGGCCCTTTACAAAAGATTACTGCATAACTTATTCAGGTATGTGCAACTGATATCCACCTGTCTTGCTAACAATTGACCAATGGATGACCTCAATGCATTTAATGTTGTGACCCGATGCTTTTTATTCAGCCTTATAACTTTTCAGTCACTCATAATTAACTTCAGTCAGCTTCTTGTTAATTTCTGGTTAGCCCTATGACTTTTCATCAATCTTTTTTTTTTCAGTCCAGATGCTTTTGCTTTTCAATCAAACGTAAACCATTTTTGGTTTTGTTTTATTATTTTTGTTGCCTTTATTTTATCTGCGGCAGGTGTCGGTGTACCTACAGCAGTTGGTCCGGTATATGGCGGAGACTGAGATGCAGATGAATGCTGTTGAGAGGGTGAAGCACTACACGACACTCACAACAGAATCGTACGAAGGTACATGAAACTCACAATAGCCCGACCTGGGATGTTATTTGGCTGACTCAATAAGCCCGTAAAAAGGGCACTTCCTGTCTCTTATGACTGACTGGCTCACACACAACTCAGCATCCAAATCATAGCAACAAATTGCAACTGAATGTACACAAAATGTCACTCTTAAATGGCACTTTAAAACAAGGCTTGTTCTGAAAACCAGTCTACCAGTTCGAAGATTAGGCACCTGTATGTGAACTCGTTGATTTGCAGGGATGGAACCGCCATTTCATTGGCCAACAAGGGGAGCAGTCTCCATCGAAAACATCTCGGTGAGGTATGGCGAGGAACTGGATCCCGTTCTCAAGGATGTGACCGTCCACATACGGGCAGGGGAGAAGGTATGACTGACCACTGGGGTAGGGAGGCCAGTGGTGGCCCTTCCCCTCTGGGGGGCCAGGAATGGCCCGCCACTTTTGGCAGGTCCTATGAAGAGGGGGGGTGCTTAATGGATCGGCCTATCAAGAGCTGATGCCTGATGGGCTCACAACTGGCCCCGCCCCCACTTTGAATATTGTTCTGCCGTCATTGTGACCAACATTTCTGAAATGATAGCTTCAGTACTGGCCAGGAATTTTTTTTTAAATCCTGGGTTTTGTCTTCAATCTCAGGTCCATTATATCGGTTCAAATGTTGTTCCGAAGCATAGCAGGCTTGGTCACACTGAAAACATGATATCAATGTGTAGGATTTGATGTTCCCGTTGTGGGATAAAAATTGACTCAATCAAGCTGCAATTTATCCGAAAGGGTACTTCAGTCCTTAAACTGCTCTCCGAGGAGAAGAGAGACACGAGACACTGAACCCAAGATTTTGAAATGTCACGTTCTTGTGCTCTGACATCTGCTCTCTCCTGTTCTTCAGGTTGGAATTTGTGGCCGGACTGGAAGTGGCAAGTCATCCCTTACATTAGCTCTCCTTCGTATAATAGACACATACAGAGGTGAGCGGCAAACGGCAATGGTTGAGTTGATGATTCTGTGAAGTTTAGACGCCAATAGGAATATATGAGACAACGCTAAGAAAGTATTTAGTGAGCATTTATCGCCGTTGCTTCTGCCATGTTCTTATCAGTGCCTTCACTCTTGAATGTTTGATTCAGCAAGCAGTTCATAAATCCACGACATGCTGAAAAATCCCATTCTGAATATTCATGAAACAGGTCGTATATTAATTGATGATGTCGACATAGCCAGTGTGCCACTGACAACGTTGAGACGACGCGTTGCCATAATACCTCAAGACCCGGTGCTCTTTGATGGAACCATCAGGTGAGGTCAAAGGTTAAGTCCTTGCTTTTTTCAAACACCAGATTTACTGCACAGTTGGAAAAGTTACGAAACAAATTATACAAGGAAACTGATTTGGTTGATTACAAATGATTATAAAGATAAACAAAGAATTGGAAAAGTTGCGAAGGGTTTTTCAGAAGTTCAGGCCTAAACCAACTGTGAAATTTTCCGCTCTGTCTTTGCTCAAAATGTAAACTGTTTACACTCTATATTATGAAAGCTTTGATCTTTTCCATCAGATGTGATAACATTAGTGTTACTCCTACAACACAAAGTGCAGTTCGTAACAGTTGTAATGAAACCATCTATTTATCCATCGTTGGTTTCTTATTGTGTATTGTGTGTTAAAAGGATGAATCTGGATCCTGAGCACCAACGGACAGAGAAGGAATTGTGGAATGCTCTGGAGATAGCTCAGCTGAAGGAGCTTGTCATGCAAATGGAAGACGGTCTAGGTAGGGCTTGACGCACCTCGTCTAGATACGGGAATCCTCAACCAGGAACACATCTGTCTTCTTGTTTATCTTTTAAGTCCATTACAATTATTATAGACGTATAATTGATAAAATGAGCAATATGAGAACTCCACGCAACTCTGGAGTATGATTCAAAGGGGACTTGTACTTCCCCCACTGGACGGTGTTGTTTAGTTTCTTAAATTTTACTCTCCAAACTGGGTCATGCACAGAATATATGAGATTAAATTTCGCACTGTGGTTGTGTGCACAAACTTACCTTGTTGAAGGTTCCAGTGGTGTTTATTGGACTGTAAAGACGTTAATGAACCAGGAAAATCGTGACATGTCCTGTTGAAAAAGGGTGGTATGTTGCCCTTCTTTTAAGAGAAAGTTGATAATTTGGAAAAGGCCTCTTAAGTTGGTGCGACTTTGTTCTTATTCTAATAGATTCTCAGGTTTCAGAAGGCGGAGAGAATTTCAGCCTCGGGCAACGCCAACTCTTCTGCCTGGCCCGTGCCTTCCTTCGCAACACCCCTGTGTTAATAATGGACGAGGCCACAGCGTCCATGGACGTGGAAACTGTAGGGGCATTTAGTATTTGTTTGTTGGTCACTGTGTTTGTTTGTCAATACATTTCCTTGGCTGGTCTGCTGGTTGGTCATTTTGTCACCGATTGTTGTTCTCTGTCTGCTGGTTTTTTGTACAATAATAATTGTTTCTAAAATGCAAATTCTTCTTCAAAAAGGCCTCAAAATGTTGTGCATGAAAAGGCGACGCAACCAATTACAAATCTAACGGTTCATCAGACGGTTACAAAACTGAATTTAACAGGGTCATAAGTACAAGCTGTCTGTAGTTGGTTTGTCATCTCTGGTTTTGATGTTATCCATTGGAATTGACAGGATAGAATTCTCCAGCAAGTTGTTGCCTCTGCTTTTGCCAACAAAACTGTCTTGACTATTGCGGTAAGAATATATAACTCTATTCTGCCTGATTTGAGGGGGAACATTTTAACGTTCAATAGTTGGAGCGATTTTGAAGTCAATTGTCTCAGAAAATTGAAAACACTTTTACCGTCAGATATGAAATCTTAGTAATGATCTTATGTTTTTGGATCTGATTTTTGTTACTTACAGCACCGTGTGGCAACCATCTTAAACTCAGACACCATCTTGACCTTGAGCCAGGGCGAAGTGGTGGAGCATGACACACCCGACAACCTCCTTACGAATCCAGACAGCGTCTTTGCCTCTCTGGTGAACTCAGATCAATAAGAACTCAGCCGTCAGGCTCTGAATCAGTCACAGCAAGTCCAGGGGAACGGGGTTGCTGTGGGTGCTGAAGCACCCCTTTACTTTTTAGGAGCGGGATGCTGGTGAACAAAAGAGCACCCCCAACTTTGATCACGTCGAGCCACAAACATGATCATGTATGCCGGAATTTGTACTAACACACTCGCCTGTGAAACAATGTTTTCAAAATGCTCCCATTTCAACATGAACCACTCTCCTGGGCTGAAGTTTTCATCGAATGTCCCTTATACGAAACACTTTAATTTGCGACGGAGTCTTACACATTAAAAAATTCTCCTTTTTGAGCGATTTCCAAATATCAATTTCGTGAAATCCTTGAAATTCAACCCATTCTCCTGGGTCTCCACAAGGCACCATATGTCTGTCCAAACTCACCAATGTCAAGAGATCCACCGAAAAACCCTCAGTACATATGATTTTACAACCTCAGCACCCCCTAAAAAAAATATGTTCCCGTTGGCATGAGTCACAGAAACTGTCGAATTGTAGTTTTGGCTTGCCATGTGAGAGGCAATTTGTGTATGTGAGAAATGTGCCATGTAAGTGTGATATGTTGTATGTTGGTGTACAAAACAAGGAAGCAGCAACATGCTAAGTATGATTCTATTGTCAAAACCAGGGGATAAAATCTTCATATTACATGTAGTTAAAAAGAGTTCCATTTCTTTATTGGAAGTTTTTGAAACGTGTGTTTTCACACCAGGCATGACATGAATCATTCTCAAGAGGAATGTAAGAATTGCTTTTTTCAACCAAAGCCCGGTGGTGTAGGTACATGTGAGGGGGGGCATGGTCCCCATCCACCCCCCCCCAGCAGAAGTCATTGCCCCACCCCCAGGTCTTTCCCTCTTTGAAATTTTAAATATACCTAACTACGTCGTGCCTTAACTCATTGGTTTTCAGTTCTCCCTGGAAAAAAATCTGTGCCTGCTCCAATGCTTACTCAGAAAATTTGCCCCAGTTTGTCTCCTGCTAAAGTTCCTTTTCAACCACTCATTTTTTTGAAAATCAATTTTCTTCAAAAGTTTGTAAGGACTTTCTGACTTTCTGACAATTTCTATAACTTTTAAATACTTTCTGATTTTTATAACTTTCTGATTAATACTTTTAAGATATAAGCAGAGCATTTTGCAAAAATCGTCAACCTTCAAAAGGTTGTAAATACTTGTATGTTTATTTTTAATTGCCCTAGAAATATTTTTATCAGTGTGCATTGCGACTTCTGAAGTACCGCAATAAAATGATTGAAATTTTTTTGATTGTGAAAAAATTGCATGTAATGGTTTGATTTCCGGTAGCGTCTGTGGTTTCATTCAATGTATGACAGGTGCTTAAACGCATTTTCAAATTAGTTTGGTTTGAATTAAAGTTTTTATCGAAAAGATTGGAAAGGGCATATACAGTGAATACAGTCACTGATCGTTCGGAACTTCACGACCAGCGGTTAGAATTTTGCAGTCCAAGTCAAGTCACAAGTCATTTTTTGCAAGTCAAAGTCAAGTCACAAGTCAAAAACTGATAGTTGCAAGCCAAGTCACGAGTTACAAAATAGCAACTCGAGTCCAAGTTAAGTGACTCAGTCTGCAACTGCCATTTTGTAGCTCAATTTATGAAGTACATATGTGCACCTCGTGCACACCAATATCTGGCGCCAGCGGGAAAAAAGTTTATAGAACTTTTTTCCTGACAAAAGAGGGCGCTAGTGCAATCTGTTTTTGAAAAATCAAGAGGGTTCTTTTGCACTAGAAAAGCAATTAGATTAAGTGGTTTTATTTTTGAAGTGATAAGTGAGATAATGACTCCAATAATGCAGTAGCTGGACGGGTGTAATTTTAGCATTTTATTTTAAGAAGGGGATTTCTTTTCTGATGACCCAGTTTATATTGCTCCAAAGAAGCACAATTTTGCTCGTGAAATCGCCCAATCATGTGTAAGAGCTAATGGAGAATTGGGCGCCCTGTAAAGGTCAAAGTCTACTAGTGTACGACGGGTGGAACAGATTTTGTGCGCTGATTGCTAAAAATCTGATGTAAATTTCTTGCATTTTACAAGTCCTTTTCATGTCACTGAGAGTATGCACTTTGCACAGGTTTCGTTGAATCACGGAAGGTAACGTTACAACCCTTCGACTCGCCCAACATCAGAAGAGAAACTCCAAGAAAGTTCGGATGTGACTCTGATTGAGCGGCCATTTTCTTCTCGTATCCTGCCTGAGACCGCCTGTCATGCGTGTATGTGTGCTCAACTTCCGGAAGTAGTTGTGTAGAAAACCGCGCCAGTGGGATCGGTGAGAATTTGAATGGTTAATTAGGCCATAGAGCAAGGACACAACAGTGCAAAGTTAAAGCATAGAGCAAGGAACAGAATGACAGCTTCCGGATGCATGTCTTGTTTGTTTTTTAATTAAATCATGTTTGGAAATTGTTAACTTTAACTTTGCTCAGAATCCTCACTGTCAAATGAATTAACAAGAGGTTTTCATGGTTTTGGTCATTTTATTAATGTTGGGAGGAGCCACTGTGTGAGTTAAACATTGAGACTTGCACTAGGCCTACATGTAGGCTTTGATAAGAAGCGAATGGATTTAGGTGAACTGGGATGTAGAGCCTAACACGCCTAACGTCGATCAGTACTGCACACTGATACTTAGGTTTAGTGATCAGTGATACTGTCAGTGTCACGGACAGTGATCAGGGTGGTCCTGATTATAGGCACAGGTGTAAAGTTTGTCATGTTTGTACTGTGGTAGCCTTTATACTGTATGTGTACTAATCCTTTCCAACGGCTAATTTGGGTTTCTTTTTATACGCGATGCTGCAAGTTCCTTATCAAATGTTTTTACGCAATTACAACTTTCTCCCTGCTCTAAAAACACGCCTATTCTTTGCAGGAAACTTCAGTTTTGTCGCCAGGAACAAATGAAACAATAATGATGATGTAGTTGGAGAAACATTGTCAACATGGTTACATAAAATTAGTTTCGTATACTTGTAATTAGACCACATTTCTTTTATACACAAGCAGTGAAAAACCAAATGGAAGCTTACATGTACATGAATGTTGGCCAAAAGCAATTTTATTTGAATACATTTTTCATTGCTTCCTTAATTCCGACAGAGTTTACGGAATGGCAACAGTGATTGACATGAATTACATCGTGGAAGTATCACATCATTTACAGTAACGGTTGAAAAGCTGTCGTCAAGTTCCAAATTTTGGCCACTTACTTAGAGGGCCCGGGGGAGACAGGTCCCCACAAACAGCCATCATGACCACCCCAACCATGAACGAGTTCATGGCGGACTGGATCATTAAGCGTGTCAAGGCCCGCTATGACTTCAAAGGCGACGGGGATGACACACTCTCGTTCTCCAAGGGCGAGGTCATATCGGTGACGCAGATCGTGGACGGGGGCTGGTGGGAAGGCATGATCAACGGGCAGGTTGGTTGGTTCCCCAGCAACTTCGTCAAGGACATCAAACCAGTTGGTAAGTAAACCGAGCAGTATTCCTTCATCAGATGTTAGCATAGTTTTTGAGGGCGCTTTACGAGATGCGCATTTTGCACACACCTGATAAGGACATCCATCAACCAGTCTAAGCATGAAATGTGCGAACCTCATGGAATAACGTACCATGTATGACAGTGACACTGTGTCACAGTGCCTTTGTGACAGTGTCCATATGATACATGTACATGTATTGCCCATTGTTAGCTCATTCATATGTTGTACACTTGTTTACAGAGCCCTATTACGGACCATACCATGTGATTTTGGCCTTCAGCTGTTGTTGCAAAGTAGTCAGAGTTCAATAATGTCTTGTTTAGTAGACATTTTTTTTGTAAATCAAACGTCGTTTGAAACTTGTTCCTGACCAAAGTTGAAGTGGTTTACACGAATAATTTAGCTCTGCTTTGTGTTTGGGATGCTCAGAAGTGTAATCGGGAGAGCAGGTCATGTTCCAGTCACTGTGGCTAGTTCTTTGCCATTGATGGAACTTGGACTTCATTTGACCCACAAAGTTTTAAATAACCAAGACCTTGGCTTTAAGTAAGCTTCAGTTCCAATCCTTGAGCCATGCATGAAAATAAGAAAAGATGGATGCAGCAAACCGCAGACAATAATTCATTTTATGCACACAGTGAATGTTATTCTATCACTCTGCTTGTTTTGGAAGTCCAGAACTTGCCTGGGCCCCTCATAGGTCCTGCTGAGCTATGGGCTGTGTCCAAACTGCTTGGCTGCAGTTTGAAAGTACACGCAAAGCTATTAGTGTAGTTGTGGCCACAGCCTCTGCCCATAGAGTTGTGCATAATTTTAAGCCACAGCCCAGTGATTCAGACAAAGCCATACATGACGTGGCTTACCAAATTTTGTGGCAGATTCCAGTACCAGTTGCCGGCCAGATGTAAATGAATACAGATTTTAGCTGGTGTCCACACTTTTGCATAGCAAATGTGACCAGTGCTAAGAGACATCAGGATCCTTCATGAAATTCCTTGTACATGTAAACTCATTGACATCTGTAAGTCGTAAACATAACTTACATCGATTTAAGGATGTCCGATGAAATGTTTATCCAGTGTGCCGGTGACAGGTCAACTGTCTGGATCATTGTTGTTACATGGGAAACATATGGCGCTCGTGTGAAATTAATAATAAACAAAGCTGTTCGATCCGTTTGTCGCTCACAGTTCTTGTTCAGACAGCACCAACACCAGTTTTATCTCGAGTACATGTATAATAAAATCGAAAGGAAACGACGCTTTTTCCTCTTTTAAATGATTAGTAATCCACATGATATTTCTAACATATCTTCATCTCACTAACCCAGCAATATTCGTACCCCAGACTGCCATTTTTTTTTGTCTTGGCGTAAATCAAATCACATACATGTACCTTTTGTTCGACCTGTGGAATAGTCTCTTGTTTGCCCAGGCTGGATTCGTTTTGTTTGAATCTACCGGTATTGGATTCATAGGCCTCAGCCACCATATTGTGGCATTTGACTTTCGTGGGGTTTAGTAAGCTTAGTTGCTTTTAGTAAGCTTAGTTGCTTTCGGTTGTAGAAACGTAGCATGGGTGGGTTCATGTGCATACATACAGGCACATGTACGCTAGTACCGGTATAAACAAAAATATAATATATAATCAGCGTCCAGAGTTATGTAATTGCCGTAACTGGGTACCTTTTTCAGGGCAAGCAGAACTGCAAAATACAGTTGCGCTTCTGGTTTGCTGATCTACAG